ACCCAGGACCTTGTGCTTGCCAGCCAGGCACTTGTGCCACTGAGCTGCATACCTGGCCAGGACTTCTTTTAGTGAAATTGATACAGAGAGACTCTCAGGAAGATGGCAGGGCATTGAGGACTTCTTGTCATGATCGCAAAGGGAAGCTGCCTGTTTGGATTTCTTCCATGCAAAGTGCTTGGAAACAACAAAGAAATTTCTACTCAGTGGTAAATGTCTTAGAAGCTCCTTATGGCTAATTAGAAACAAACAAACAAACAAACAAACAAAGAGGAGGGCCAGCCAAATAGCTCAGCAGATTAAAGTGCCTACAAGCAGATACAGGGACCAGAGGTTCAATCCCCATGTCTGCAGTGCCGGCCCTGCCCTCAGGGGCATGCTTAGATGGCAATTGAAATGGCGTGGTGGTATGCTCCTATAATCCCAGCTCTTGAGAGGCTGTACACAGGTGGATTACTACAAGTCCGATCTAGTAGTGAGACCCTGAACACCCTATAGACCATTCCTTAAAAAAAAAAAAAAAAAAAAAAAAAAAAAAGCTAAGAGGGACATAATTGGATACAATTTCAAACATTTTTTCACCACTTGGACTATTTCAATATGTGCAGTAAACCCTAACTGCCATTCTTTATATTTAAAAGAGTAAAGAATTACAAGGCCAAATAATAACATTTCTAAATAATAGATCTGTAAAATTTTGCCCTTCCTATTCTTATTTTATGGCTGTCTCCAAAATTACTGTAAGATGTTGTTTAATCTATGAGGAAAGTCATAAAAAGCAACCATAACTTAGATGATTAAATAAAAGCAATTCAAACTCTTCAAATGTGTACTTTATATTTGGTAGAGATGATGGTCCTTAGTTTAGATTAGAGTTTTAAAAAAATCCTAGTGATACAATAGATTTTTTTTAATCTTATAATTTGAAGTATTCTACAAACTTTTTAAAATTTGTATTTATTTATTTATTACAGAATATTGCTATGCAGCTCAGATTCATAATGATCTTCTTGTCTCAGTTTCTCCAGCACTGGGATTACAGGCATGTGCCACCATGCCCGATTTCTGTGTCCCACATGGTAACCTGAAAAGCATGTAGTACTGGGGATTGAACCTGAGTCCTTGTGCTTGCCAGGCAGGTGCTTAGACTGCCAACCTATCTTCCCGGCACTAGCCTACAAATTTACATTTATTTATTTTATTTTATTTTTATTTATTTATTTTTATTTTTATTTTTATTTATTTATTTTTTTTGAGGAACCGGGGATTGAACTCAGACCCTTGCACTTGCCAGGGAAGTGCTTATTCTACTGAGCCATCACCGCAGCCCACTAAATGTTTATTTACAGTCTAAGGTTTCACGTATATTTACATTCTGTGCAAATTGAGTTACAACTGGTATTGTGTGATCTGGGAAATCAATCATGTTCTCATTCCATTTTATTGAATTTCTTTTTTATTCTTTCCTGAAACTTCTGTAGTTTAATACCGTTGCAAATAGTCTGTCCTAGTTCTCCTTGGAGAATCCTTTTTTTCTTCTCACAACTGTCAGATGCATTATTTCCCCAAGGACATGTTAGTGCCTTTACACAGGTAGCTATGTCTCCTGGTTATTATTTTATTTTGTATGGGAGCTTGGTTGTTTCCTTCCCTGTCTCCCAAGCCAGTATGGGGGCTTGTCTCAATAAGAAGTTTATCTTTTACATGTAAATGTGACCCCCATTGAGCAGTAGCGTAGGAATTAAAATAGCCAACAGGTGTGAAGCAATGACTCTGTTGTCCTGCTAAGGACTTCACCTACATTCTCTCTTTTATTGCTCAAAATAACTTTGGAATAAATGTCACTGCCCCCACCATCTTGCTCTTTAATAAGCACCTGAGACAAGGAGAGATTTAGTGACTGATGCAAGAACAGAGACAGACAAGCCTCAGTCAGGGCCTGGGTCTCCGGCTGTCTGTGTCCAGAGGTCACCTGAAGTGTGACTGCTCCACGGTGCGCTCAGGCAAAGGCAGCAGCACAGTCCCTCTGACACCCCAGTGCCATCCAGTGACACTGATGTGGAAGCCAGAAGTCCTTCGCAATTCTATGTTATGGAGCTCTTTATTTTATTTTATTTACTTTTAAAAGTTTTTAATACAAAGAAATAATAAATGTTAGAAGAATACAATATATTATATGTATAATATATATATATATATATATATATATATATATATATATACATTATATATAGAGAGGACATATTTGTATCCATTAAAACTATTCTTATATTTTTTGTAGAAGTTAACAATAGAAAAATTAAAAAGAGGGGCTAATATAATATTCAAGGAGAAGAAAAGAACAAGAGGACTATTTGACTTTAAGACTAACTATAATGTATCACTAATTAATTAATTAAGATACTGTGGCATTGGTGAGTAGACAGGCAGATTAATGGTATGATTATAAAGTCCAGAAATATGCCCACAGTTGATCTTTGATACAGGAAAGATCAATTTAATAGATAAAGGGGCTCTATTTCACAAATAAGTTTGGAGCAACTGGTCATTCATACAAAAAATAATCTAGACATAAACTTTACATACTTGAAAAAATTAACTCAAAATAGAAGATAAATCTAACTGTAAAGCACAAGACTAGGAAATTCCCAGGGGGTATTAGGAATTCTTTAAAGAGAAAACTGCTCTAAAAGAGCTGTTTTTCTTTAACAGCTCAGAAATGTCCTCATCCTGGCCTTTCTAGGCTGACCTAAGATAAGAAAACTGTATTTGTTTTAGGACTGGGGATTCAACTAGGACCTTTGCCTCATTTTTTCCATTCTTTATATTTTTTTGAGACATAGTAGTTATGTTGCCCAGAATGGGCTTGATCTTGTGATCCTCCTGACTTAGTCCCTCAGAGTTCTGGGGTGACATGTATGTGTCCCTGCATCCAACCAGGTGAGTAGTTTTTGCCCCCCCCCCACCAGAGTGGAGGATGAGTATTTCCTTAGTGGGACAAATCTATGCTGTTGGCTCTGATTGAAGTAAGAGCAAAAACCTTCAGCTCTTCAAGGATTTTGAGGCCAAAACATGAGACCTAAACAAACCATTTCTGCATTTATATACAACACAATCCAAGTTAGTTCTGCTATTTTGTGCTTTCTGCTTTTAAATGAATCATTTATTTAACTCTTATCAGAAGTACCATGTATGTCAATTAAATACAAAAAGTATGATGTGGGAAATAAGTGGGATTTTAATGATCATTTCTATGATCTCAAAAATTCAAAAGAACAACAACAACAAAATGAATGAAGCAGAGAGAGAATCTTTTGTGGACACTAGTAAATGACATCCGGTTAAAGATAAATCAAAAAGCACATTCCAAGTAGAATTTCCTTCCGTGGTTCAGCACTGGGTAGAGACTTTCCAGCTCCCAGGGAAGTGCTAGCTGCAGTCTGGACAGTTGGTAGAGCTCTCTGATGGCTGTCTACATGGCTATGGTCACTGGACAGCTAGTACAGCTCTCTGATCCCATCTGCGTGGCCAAGAGCACTACGAGCCAGGCCAGGGCAGTAGAAATCACTTGCCTCATAGCACTGAGCTCTCTTCACACTGTCACTGTTATCTTCTTGGGAAGACACATAGGTGCTGGGTGAGCTGAGGGATAGACTGCCTGCAAGTATGTCTTAGTTCTGGGGCCATGGGAAAGTCACCCCTGGAGTCTCTGTTGTCTTTTCTTCAAAATAAGGTTGTTGGACTAGCTGACCTCTTGCTGCCACAATCGAGCAAAAGCAAGAGTGGAGAGTGTTCACAGAAGAGCTCTCCATGCAATGAATCTGCCCATCTGGAATACTAAGAACTAGCTCTCCCGGAAGGCTGCTCTCCTTGATGAACTGGGCATGGGTGGATGTCAAAAAGATAGCTCACTACACAAGCGGTATCAATGACTCTTGGCAGAACAAGGAAGCTGAGGCAAGTGATACATGCTAGACTGAGAAGGAGCCGAAATGTTAGCTCAAACCATCACAACCGCAGGTGTCTCTGCCTGTCTGTCTCTTGGCTGTCAGGTGGAAGAAAAGCTGTTTTCTGGCCACAGGGTTCAACCTAGAAGTTGGAGATACACTGTAACCTGTTCTGCTAAGTTGTTAGTTTAAGTCACAGGGTTATTTCTGGATAGTACAAGGCCAGTGTGTGTGGCAGTGTGTGAGCCACAGAGCTTCCAAAATGTCACAGCTAGTGTTTAAAATGTTGATCAACTCAGCTCTGCAGCTCTAATTCCTTCAGTGTCCTTTCCATGGTCACAATTAACAAAAGAGCAAATATTCAGTTTATTTACTAAAAACATACACTAAGAGAAGCCACTAAAGTCCAAATCGTACTAGCTAAAAGATGCTGCTAAGTTATGAAAAATTAATTTTGTTCTGAAAATTAAGGAAATTTCATTCAGAGTATGTTTTCTTTTTGCATTTTCATTGAATCTCCAGTCATATTAACTTGAGTGATACTGTTGTTACATTTAAAAATTGAACACTTTTCATAATCACATGCAACTCACAAATGCATTAGAAACACTTCAAAAAGAACATAGTACAAACAACTTCGAAAATGTGCAGCAACAGAACAGGGAGATTTTTAACCTGGCTACAGCTCAGCCTTGGCATGAGGCTACCTACTCTGCCCTGCCCTTCCCTGCCATTGTCATGCCCTGGTGTCCAAGCTGGCTCACACTTTGCTTGCCAGGTGAGTCACACCACAGGAGACCAATGACCTGCTTCTCCGTGTTTTCAAAGGACATGTTGCTTTAAAAGCACGTTGCAAAGTGAAAACAAAGGACGGAATCTGTCCTGTTGCTCTGCGGAGCACCAGCCCCAGAAATCGCAGATACAGGTGGTAGCAGGCTAGCGCTGTGTAAATCCCAGCGGAAAACTGGAGACCGTGAAGCCTGCAGTAGCGCCTCACAGCGCGGCACCCTCCCCGAGACCCGATCCCTCTGCACCCGCGGGCGCAGCACCCACCTGGGGACACGGGCTGAAACGTGGCAGGCAGCATCGCCGTGGAGGTGAGCAAAGTGGGACGACCGACTGGGGACCTTAGGACCGGGGACCTCGGGGACCTTGGTCCGGAAGTTCTAACCCAGGGCTCTAGCCCGCAGGAAGCGAAACTGCCCCGCTAGCCGCGCGCCTGCAGCTGCTGCCTTGGTTTCCTCTCCGCTGCTTCCCACCTCACCCTGTCACGTAAGATCTCTAGGACTATCACCTGCTGGGACGGAAATTAAACATTTACCCTCAAGACGGACAAGGGATAAGCTAGAAGGTGTAGGTATATCTGCCTGTTCTGTAACATTCCTGGGTTTAAAACCCACGTTTTCTAAGCCAAGTGGTTTTAAATATCATCTAAAACATATTCCCTACTCCCGTTCAAAAAAAAAGAAAAAAAAAAAAGCCTTGGACCTTAATAGTCCTTCGAAATAAAAGTGGTGTGTGTGTGTGTGTGTGTGTGTGTGTGTGTGTGTGGTGTGTGTTTTCAGGGTCCAAAGGGGCTACCAGAGCCTTAATAGTCCTTCGAAATAAAAGTGGTGTGTGTGTGTGTGTGTGTGTGTGTGTGTGTGTGTGTGGTGTGTGTTTTCAGGGTCCAAAGGGGCTACCAGAGCCTTAAAATAAATGCCAGTTTTCTTTCAAGTGTCTTTACACTAGGAATTTATCTCTTAAGAAGATAAGTACATGGTTGCAATGCTCCTCTTTCCCTTATTATAAAATAAATTTAGAGGCATGTGCACAACTATTTCTCTTACACAGTCTTTCATAGAAATATTGCCAAAGTCAACTATCAAAGTAAGTGTTAACTATTCGCCATCACTGGGGTTGTCATTAGAATTTCATAACAAAATGCAGGAAACTTGGAGAAATGGGTAAAATGTCAGCAAAATTTGGAAAGTATTACAGCTAAATAGTTCTCATCCAGCATTTCCTGCCCCCTCCTTAATAATTTTAAGGTGAGCATCCATATTTGAATGATAAAGCAAAAGATTTTATTTAGTTTATGAAATAATGTCACACTAAAAAGTTTATTGTTTCGGTATATGAATGTCCAACCAAAGACTTCAGTGTGGTAAACATAGTTTCAACTAGTATTTCCAGAAATTTAACCCTTAAGGAAGAGAAGTACTTTTCCTTTTCTGTTTTATTATTATTATTATTATTATTATTATTATTATTATTATTTTAGGGTAGTAGTATATGCTTGCAGTACACAACGCTCATACTCCTTGTGCAGAGTTGGAGCATGTACACAACACATCTTCATTCTTCTTTGCACCCCTTTACCCTTCCCTCTCTCCCCCTCTGCCTATCTCTTCATCCTCTTCCTTTTTTAAACACGCTTGCAGTACCTAATGTTTATATGCCTTGTGTGGAGTTGGAACACACAAGCTGAGATATCACATTGTTTCTTTTCTATCATAAATCCAGAGTGAAAAAAAAAGAACAATAGATAATAGAAAGTAGGGAGATAGATCATTCTTAGCAGGAAAGGAATTGAGAGGTGGAGGGGCAGGAGACAGGTGGCAAGAGAATAGGGCTGGGAGAAGGAAGTGGGATGAGTTTTGTGGGTCTTATACTGGTGCGGGGAGTGAGCTGTGGCCTGGATGGATGCATGTTTGTTAACGCATGTATCACCTGGGCCAACATAAGAACTCCATCTACGTTTCCCCAGTGATCCACAAAGGCATCCAACTCTGCACACAGGAATGTGTGGAGTCGTCGGATGATGAATTGCCCCCATCCTGTGCAGAACAGCCCTCCTGGTCAGGAGCCTGTGGATGTTAACCTGCCCTGCCTCTGTAGGAAGGACTGGGCAGCCCTTAGCAGGGCCGAGCCTCATATTCGTCATCTAGATGAGGAAGCTGGAGCGGTCCCATCTAAGTCTCCACCATCTGGGAAACATGACTCCTTCTCCCACACCATACATGGAAAATAAGATTTATAATGCACATGAAAATCAAGTGCATGAATACAGGCTCATTTCTGCTGTGTCCGCGTGATTCTGTTATAGGAAAACATGAAAGCGAAAATGTGTTTGAAGTTACAGGCTGGTTTTTAAAATCCAGTTTATTTATTCAGAATTTGTGTTAGAAAACCTTCTACTCAAACTTTAAAAATTATTACAGCTTTATTTTTGTTTGGAGTACAAATGAAAATACAGCATTTATCCCAAAGTTGTACAGTAACAATAACTCATTTATTCTTTTGTTTTATTATTATTGCTGTTTAATAACTACTTTCCTTTAAAGAAAAAAGTCTAGAAAATAGAACATTTTCACAATGTTTTATCATTTGTTTTTGTTTTTATTTTTAAATGTGCCTGTAATGATACTTTCCACAGGAGGAATCAGGTTGTAAAACTTTTAAGTAGAAAACAAGAATCAGTCTCAAGCTAACTTCAAAGCTTGCCCTCTTAAATGTAACCCCCCTTTTCAGGTCACGTGCTCATTGCCAAGATCACACAGACATGGGAAGGTTGCACACAGGGTGTGTACAGCAGCCCCCTTTCTCCTCAGAGGACTGGTTTTAAGGCCCCTGGAGGAAATGCAGGATGGTACCAAACCCTAAGCAGATGTGGCTTTCCTGTGCATGCACCTATGACAAAGTGTAAATGATAAACTGGGCACAGTTAGTGGGAGACTGAGGGCTGTAACTGTTAATAGTACTAAACAATTAAGACAGAGTTTAAGAAAATTACATGAAGGTGACCTGCCTCTCTCTTTCTCCCCTGCACCGTATCTGAAATTTGCCATTTGATATTTTTGGACCATGGTTGAGCACAGATAACTAAAACGAGAGAAAAAGAGGACAAGAAAGACTACTATGTTAAAGGACTGCTTTGTGTTCCTATGCACGTACCCACAGAGCTATAACTTAGACGGCTAAACTCTGATATCCTTAAAAACATTCAGTAACTGCACTCCTAACTCATAAATAGAGTTCTTGGCTTGAGGCTATGGAGACTGAGACACACATAGATACGGTAACCAAAGCCTAAGAGGTAATTTTGTCTATGCATTTATGAAAATATGTTTTAGGGAAGGTTCTACTCATTTTCTTCCTCAGTGTCAAGCACATCATGAGTCAGGGTTGACTTGATTTCCTCTCTGGAGATGACACTGTCTGAAATGCAGGGCTGTCTCTTGGTTCACAGTTATTCTCAGGGAAGAGGCACTTAGTAATTCTCACAGTGAGAGGCTTTTCCAGTTAGAATGCCACCAGCAGTGTGTGATTGCACGCTGCTGATTTTACCTCTGACACAGAATGACAAAAAATGCCAGCCACAGTTGGTTTCTTGTTTCTTAATGCATCAAACTCTAGGGTCCATTGACTTGTTCCCTGGTGTCCTTCATCTGGCTGTGTATCGATGGCCTCAGTCCTGTTGTCTTCATCTGTGGAGACGCTGTGAGCCTCCTGCTGACTGTGTGTTCCCACGATTGGACAGCTAACGTTGCAGCCCCTGTGCCAGTCCTGTGCCCTTTGCACAGTGGATGCTTTTGCTCAAGGTACTGACTTTATTCTCTTTTTAGATTCAGGATGCATTTAAAGCAAAACCAATTCTTTCCTAAAGCAACAATCTATTTTTCTTTTAAAGAAAATTATTTTTATTGGTATACTTCAGATATATACAATGGTCACATTCATCATAAGGAATTTGTATATCTGTAAATGACATAACTTTATTCTACCCCCATTCTCCTACCCTCCCTTCAACCCCTTTTCCTTCTTCTTCACAAAAACTTTAAATTAAACAATATTCATCTTCATGATCATTTATAGTTGGAGAATTTCTTCTTGATGAACTTGGCTAGAATTTTAGATACTGAATAGTATTACTCTGGTAGGGTCTTGTTACATTTCTTATTTTCTAGCTCAAAACTTGACCAGATATCAGGAAGGGCTAAAAAAATTTCCCAGAAATGAGACAATTTTTGTTGCTACAAGAAGCTTTCTTCATTTTCTTTTTTTCATACATTCAACTGAATTGTATAGTGCAAACCTAACTATGTCACTTTCCCCCCAGTAATGTCCACTTCCCAGCCCACTGAGCCTGTGTGTGTTTTACCCTAATGGAGGACTAAGGGTTGACCCAGGAAGATTGGCTTGGGTCATCCAGGTGTCCAGTGTGACCCATCACTAGGCTACTGAGAAGGTGGAAACAGGAAAGCAGAAAGAGAGACCTGGAGGAATGTGTGTGAGAGTGGTGGGGTGGGACCGGCCACCACACACAGGCTATCTTTGGAAGCAAAGGAAGATGAGGAAATGGGTTCCGCTGCAGGAACTCAAAATCCTCTAAGGCCTTGAGTTGAACTCACCAGGACTGATTTTGAACTTCTGATTTCTAGGATTGTAACATGATAAATTTGCATTGTTTAAAGCTACTAAGTTATAATTTGTAACAACAGCAATAAGAAATCAACATATTTACAGCGATAGATAATTTAGGGAGATGTACTTATGAGGAGGTCTTTCCACATTCTTCTAAAAATGCATATATTAAAAAATACTGAATTTCTTTTACCAGTGTTTCGCTAAGCCCCTATGTGGCAATGTCTTGTTCTTGGTAGCTGTAGCAAGTCATTGAAACCCTGCTGTGATGCTGCTTCCCTTGTGCATAAGCCATTCCCCAAGGAGCTGGCAGCTGTGCTGTCTTCCCCTTGCAGTAACCAAGTTCCTGCTTTCACTGTGGTGCACATTGCCGTTCCACCCTCCGCCCACACCCAGCCTATGCAAAGCAAAACTGGGTGCTGGAAGGCAGCTTGCTCAGTAGATCAGAGTTTGAACACCAGTGCTATAAACCATTTGCTTGTCAGGAAATCCAACATTCTTCATTTCTCCATTTGGTTTTTTTGGCTTTGTTTGTGAACTATGGCAGTCTGCTTTCATTCTTACCCCACAATGGCTGATTTGTTGAGTTTCAGCCTCACTCTGCACTTAGCATAAAATAATATCTTCCTCAGTACCTAATTCATTGCAGTTTCAGAACCTGTGTCATTCTTCTATAATATTGATAAAATGCATTGTTTTACATGTTGTCATAATTCATTAATAAATTTAAAAAGACTTTAGTAAGTACTTACCA